GCTTCCATATTCTGATGGACGACATCTGGCTCGGCAACCCCGCGGGCGACTCCACGGCGTCCTGCCCCACGCATCTGTTCTTTCGGGAGCGGCGCCACAAGTCGAAGTCCACTCGGGCCCTTCTCTGGCGCATCCGGGCCTTCGACTACCGCGGCTTCCCCGACCTGGCGCGGGTCGTCCGTCATTAGGTCCGCCTGCGCGATGTCTGCCGCGCCCAGCACCTTCCTGGCCGCCGCGGCCACATCGAGTTCTTCTACGGCCTTCCTTCTGATGCCCACCCCCCTTCTGCCCGCTCTGTTCAGACCTGGTTCCTCGAGGCCGCCCGCCACCTCACTGCGGCGGGGCAGGCCTACCGCCACCACTGCGTGCGGCGTACGGGGGCGTCCTCCGCCTTTGCCGTACTGGTGCCTGAGGCCCAGGTTCGTAATTGGGGGTGGTGGGCCCCGGGGTCCGCGGCTTTGTGGAAGTATGTGGATTTGCAGCGGCGGCCTACTGAGTTTGACTACCGCCTTTTTGGCTGGATGCTTGTCGCCGCTGACTCCCTTCGCGACGAGATTCGTGACATCTTCTCCGCGCCGTCTCCTCCTCCTGTCCCGTCGCCTTGATGGGGGCCTCTTCGTTTCCCCATCCTTTCCGGCCCTGTACTTTGCTCGCGCTTGCCGTTTGGGCCGTATTGTTTGGAGATGGGCACTCTTTGGCTTGCGGGTGACATACCCGGGTTCTTGAACTGCATGGACAAGCTGGATTGGTGGGTTGGTGATGGATAGGTGTTTTGTTGGAGTTGGATCAGGTGGACATTTTGTCACGGTTTGTGACGTTTTTCTGAATATGTAATTATAATTACATGTTCAGCCTGCCATTGGGCGGGAAGATCGCAGGGCTGTACCGTAAGGGATGGTTACGTCCAGTAAGCTAGTTTACGGGAGGCCCGAAGATGGGCGGGCGAAAAAATTGCTACCCGACAGTGCTCTGTCAGCAGGGCGCCCAGTTTGCGCGGGAACATGCTGCTGCTGGGGCCCCAAGGCAGGCAACGGTCCTTGGGGCCGGGTTTCGGCTCGTTCGGGAACTGTTTGGCGGCGCCGAGGCCTAAGGAGGCGACGCGCCATCAGTCTGCACTTTGTTTTCTCCCCGCCCGCCCTCTCCTTGGGTTTTGTTGGGCTTGTTTTTTGACATTGTTGAAACTTCGCTCGAGATGAACATTTGGGACCGGAAAGGCACTCTTTGGCTTGCGGGTGACATACCCGGGTTCTTGAACTGCATGGACAAGCTGGATTGGTGGGTTGGTGATGGATAGGTGTTTTGTTGGAGTTGGATCAGGTGGACATTTTGTCACGGTTTGTGACGTTTTTCTGAATATGTAATTATAATTACATGTTCAGCCTGCCATTGGGCGGGAAGATCGCAGGGCTGTACCGTAAGCGCTCTTTTCTCCCTCAGCCAGGGAGGACTTCGAATTTGGCCATCAGACTGCAATGCTGTGCTGGAATACGGCAAGATACTGGAATACGGTCAGAGGCAACAGGCTTTCGACGTTCACCAGCGCTGACCGCGGTGTTCGATTCCGTTTTGCCAGCCCGGCGCCCGCTGCCTTTGGCCCACTTCCCCGTCCACCCTGCAGGATTTCCCCCTCACAAAGACTTTCCTCAGGGGCGACCATCGACGCGGTTCGGCGTGTAGCTTTTGCCTGGGGGCGGCCGGGGGGGATGCCGCAATGCTGGCGTGCAGGCTGGAGAAAGGCTTGCCGATCCTCCAGCGGCTGTTCCACGTGACAGGTGAGGGCGATTGCCCCCGCAGCGCCGCCCCTCCATCTGGAAGCGCAGGAGAGGTTGTTGCTGCCAAGCATTCGGGAACGGGATGTTAACATCGCCAGGCAGCATTCGACCGCAATGGTTTCTTTGGTTTGCGCTTCGTGCTCCTGGCACGTCAGGTTGATGGTTGCTAGAAACTGTCAATAGCGGAGGTGCATAAGCAGGGAGGACGGGCTGTATATTGTGCCTTGCGATGGCCCGCCTGCGAAATTCGGAGCAGGGGTTGCAGGCGTTCGCAATACCATAGTGTACAGTCGTCAGAATAGCCATGACAGGCGAAGCAACAGCACAAAGATCCAATCCAAAGTCAAATCAAACTCCGTGCGTCATCGTTCGGCATACAGACCTTCTTGCGACTTGTCCATCCACGGTTTTTATACCATTGGTTGCTTTGACACTTACAGTTCATGCATTGGTGGTATTTCAAGTACGTTCATCCCCTGCTACTTTTTATATCGCACCCAGGAGCTGGCTTGCACAGTTTTTGTGGTATCCAGACGTCCATTGGCGTGGGCTTAGAGCAGTTCACGTCATGTATAGCAAAATTGTGGGGTATGGCAGGGTTTAAACGTTGGGCAAGGAGAGTATGGCAATTCCTAAGCATACTGCTTGTGCAGAAATTTAAAGAGGGTGCCCCAACCCCCCTCTGGCTACTTTGCGGACCTTGCCCATTTGTCGCATCGACGTTTGTGGCATTAAAATTTTCCATCATGCATTGGGTAGCGCCCCCTCTTGGGCAGATTATCACTGTTTCTGCCAAGTTCCAGTCCAATCATGCTACAGTTGCTCAATATACAGAATGGCGCACTGCCACGATCGCCTGTTGCGTCAATTGCCTCCCTGTGTCTGCCTTTGGACGGCGCATCCAATGAGGGACATTTCTGGTCCTTGCATTGCTCATGTGCTGCTGCAACAAATTTATTTCTGAAATGTCCTTCAATCAACAACAACGGCAACAGAGTCTCTTCGTCATATTCCTATCAGTCAGTTCCAAAGGGCCTAAATGTTCTGAAGTGGACAGTTGCAGCAGCTAAAAATCATCGTTCTGCTCCCTGTTTGCAGCAACTGCAATGGCGCCTTTGCACCGGGAGGAAGACTATCGCCTGCCCAATACGACCATAGATACAGTGGGCATCGTGCGTGCCCTTAGTGACTCTGAAGAGCCTCTAACCACCACCGAGCTGTGGGATAGGTGCCGGGTGAGCAAGAACAAGATTACTGTTGAGATGCGCAGGAAAACTGGAAAGCAGCTGCTGTTTTTGAGCACTGCCTGCTTACAGTAACATGATGTACCCGTTCCTGTTCATTTGGGCAGTGGGAGCCATTGACCATGAGAGAGTGTTGCCACAACATTTGAATGCTGTGCCACAGGCCCTTGCAATTGCTAATGTATCAGCACTCTCTTGTTCAAATGTCAAGTCAACAAAGTTCCTCAAAATGACATGTCAACAGCAAAGATTATGTCATTTGCAGCATTGCTACACAGATAACTTGCTGCGCAGCTGTGAACAGTGTCTGCCTCTGTATGTGGCACCCTTGAGATCAATGGACTCATATATCAATGGGTGAAATGGGGCTGTCGTTTGGCTGGAAGTTACTGTCTGGGCTTCAATGCTTTCAGTACGTTGTCCAATCGTGTGGTGTGTGTTCCGGCACTGCATGGTGGTGAAGGATTAAGCGGTGGTTAGTAGTTTATTCACTTCATTTTGATTGAATTTGTCAGAATCGGTAATCGTCTCCCATTCACTGATGATGAATTGCAATTGATGAACACAAGGTCACTTCCCTTGGAGTAGAAATAACATCTGAGGATTCCTGTGTGCACTTTTTCTTCTAGAATAGCACTTTGTTGTTGTAGTTTGTCTTCATGTAAATGAAGCTTCAGCAGCTGCATGACGCTGTGCTCACATGTGTCACAAAAGTGGCATTACGTCTCTATCCCCTGATGGCAAGCTTCCAGTATGTCCACCTGAGCCAAAAAGAAAAGGCGAAAAGTCAAGCTATGCTGTTGTGTTTCCAGATCGAATGTGTACACTGGATTGAGCGCAGCATGTGGTCCGTTTATTTTCGGTGGAATGTGACTGTGGAGACCACAAATTCTGTCACCCAAGACACTGTTGCTTCGTGCCCTCCACTGGTCGGCACTCTTTGGCCTCACGATCTGGTGCAGAAGATGTTACATGCACCGAACAATAATGAAGTCAGGACATTAGCAAATTGTGTAACATTGCCCATCTTGTTCATGGTTCGTTGTACATAGTGCCAATAAATCTGATGGGAAAGAAAGGAGTTCAGAACCTTGAAATGAATTTATTCATCACAAACGTACACATGTCGCTTCAGGTGCCGCCATTGGTTTCGCAGCTTTCTCCTTGTACTGTCACTGAGCATCAATGGAATTCTAGCCTCGCACAATCGTCATTTGCTCAGTCAAATTTGTGTTGTGTGTATTTGTTTGTTTGTGTGAACGAATGTACTGCCACTCATTTGTGTGCAAGGAGAAACCTGGCTGATTGTTTTACGAAAGGGCTGCATCTCATATGACCTATTGCCTTTCTTTCTAATCGACAATGAAAGAATATGCTGCACAGAAGAAGTAAACAGTGAAATCCGAAAACCTTGAGAATGGCAGGAAAAATGCACTTTTTTGCCTTTTCTTTTGCTATTTTAGCAAACGAAAACGCAACAGATAGGAATCGGAAGATGGAGATGAAGATGATCAACAAACTCATTAAAATGTCTGACGAACGATACGATCAGCAAAATCCTCGGAAACAGTGCATTTGGAGCACTGTTGCACCATGACACGTGCAAGGCATTTAAAACACAAACAGATAGTGAAACTTTGTATTTGCTGGACTATCTCCATGTACAATTTGAGCCACAAAATTTAACTGTTACGTCATCAAATGTTAATGCGAACAGGTGAATGTTTCTGACGTGTGTGAGACAACGCAGGGGCTTGATTTGGATCAAGTCACCATGACACGTGCCACGGACTCTCAATACACAAACGCAGCCAATATTTATGCGTGTAAAGCTACCTGCATGTTCAATTTCAGCTTCAGACAATATATGAAACATGACCAAAAACGTAAATCAAACAAGTCGGTGTACTGGTGTGTGGAGGAGACAAGGCATCAATCCTTGAGGCTACATACTCTGAAGCCTGTGCTTGTCATTGATGCGCAGAAGCATAGCGATTTTCGAAGCAAGAGGGAAATGAAGAATGCGCTCAAGCAGCTCAAGCACTTCCAATACGTGCGGTCGTTTCCAAACAACGGTGGGTGGCACCTCCCACCATAGCTTCAAACAGACGATGCACATGCGTAGGTGCCGTAATCGCCATTAGGTGCAATGACCACGCTTTTTCACTTTGGACAAATGCAGTCAAAGGATTTGGAAAAGACTCCTGGGGTCCCATGCGCTTTAAGCAAGGGCACAATGCAGACGCTGTTAAGGCGCCTGTTCCCATGGCCCTATCTGTGTGCGATCTTCACTGTGAAGAATTCCCACTGGATCCAGATTTCAGTAATTCACCACTTCACCCCATTTTGCACGTTTACACAGGGTTTTGGATGGTTGAAATTGTGCTCTTCATTTCACTAATTTTTTTGAAACGAACTCAGGTTGGGTGCAAGCGATGCAATGGGACTGCTGCTTTGCTGCACCACAAAATGGTGTGCGCATGTTTCGTCATCTGAATTTTTGCGATGAATTTTCGAACCTCCCATGGATTGTCATAACAGTTGCCAACACTGTTTCCGTGTGCAAATGACATGCTCCGCTTCACAGCTCAACAGGGTCCATGACCTTTGTTGTTGGCGCGCACAACCAAGGAATCTTGAAAGATTGATTGATGTGCTGGTTTATTGATTGAGCTATTGACTGGCTAAGCCACACAAAGTCTGGTAGTTGCCTGACGCGTTGCGACCGCACGAACTTAAAATCCGGCTTGCGTCAACTCCAGCAGCTGGTGGAAGTCTCCGACGAGTGCATGCACCAAGCATTGGTATACCTTGCCCGCTAGCTGCAGCTCAAGGCAACATGATGTGCTCGCTGCAATTGCCTGCATAAGTTTTCTGAACCGCTTTTGTAGCGATGGATGAAAATCAGGATACTGTGTATCGCAGCCGGTACATGTAATTCACAGCACTCACATTTAGCAGTTGGGAGGGAGAAGGGCAGTTTCAGGACGCTGTGCTCGATGCGTGTGGGGTTGATCTATCCGCAGTCAGACAATGTGTTGCTCCATTGGTTGAGAATACCCCACCCAGTGGATGGGACGCCACTCGGGAAGCTGTTGGGCTTTCAGTTGACCTGCCAGTCCATTTCATTGTGGCCCCCAACGCTATTGTTTGCTCATCCATTTCTGCCAGCCGATCGCTCAAAACTCTAGTGCCGAATTGCCCCTCGCTCACTGTCGCCTTGGCGCTTGTGAAGGTATCAAGACCGGCGGCCTTTCCCAGAGTTTTGTATTCGAGCTGACCAACAAGGTTGCCTTTGTAAGGAAGACGCAGCGGGGTGGGGACAAGCACCGACTGAGTGAAGACAGTGACAGGGAGGCTTGATTTGGTCGTGGAAGCCTGTGTCGTAACATTTTGCTTTTCGCTTCTGCACCATGTGGCAACTCTGTGCTGTGTCTGTTTGTCAAACTCGCTGGCATATCAGCACGTGTGGATCGCACCTTGTGGTGGGTCGTGGAAAGTTGTGGCAAGGTGCCTGCGGTGGCAATCACATCCATACCCCAGACGCCAAGAAATTTTGTCAATGCTGCAAAATCAACATCAGAAGAACAGCCTCAAACATCCTCTGATCAGCCGCCAACATGTCATGACTCGTTCAGGAATCCCCCCCAAGCGTTCAATCTTCACAAAGGCTCCTGATGTCCCAATTGACAGCCCCCAGGGCTGCCTGTCCCCCAGCACCAAGCACCCCATCGCCTATCACCATTTCAAACACCCCATTCTCCAAGCCAGGTTTGCGAAAGATTGTTGAGTGCCTCTATGGTCTCTGAAGCGCTGGCTGTTTGCCTTCCTTGGAGACTTCTGAAGGTCCTTGAGGTTATAGGTATACACGGAGGGACAAACGATTGGAAACGGGAGCAAAGTCACTGCCGTATCAAGACCCTAAATATGCCAGCGAATATGCTCGCTTTGACAGCGTTTCCAATTAACTTACCAACAGTACTTGAGGCCCCTAGTGCGCATATTTCAACGCGCATATTGCAGAGCGTTTATTCTGATCCTTGCTCTCAGATCTTGCACCTTTGGCTGCCTGACATTCTAACTCACAGACGCCCGCATCCAGAGCATTCTGAAGGAAATAGTAGATGCTGATGACAAGATGCTCCATGTGATACGTCGATCACATTGCCAATGTGACGTTGGCTTTGATAGTTTCTCCTCGACTCAGCTCACATTGAATCGGCATCCAATTCAACCGTATACAGCCTAACATGGAATTACACAGATGCAATCCTGACGTGCAAAGCAGCAGCCATTCCTTTGCGTGAGCTATAATAGGTGCAGAAGCGGATGTCACAGAGAAGCTATCATTTCTAACTGCAATATGCTTTGAAACAGCAAACTGCAGCCAGGATTTCTGAAGATTCACAGGGATGGACATGGCCCTCACGCCTGTCGCTGATTCCAAGACATACTGTATTTACCCGGTATTAGTAGGCATCCCCTATTAGTATCCACCCCCCTCTTTGGGGGTCGAACCCACGTTAGTATCCATGACCCGGTGTTAGTATCCACCCCCAAACCTCAACAGAGCAGAAACGACGGAAGCTGCGGATGGTGGCAAGGGAAGTCGGGGGCTGGTGTTGGAACTCGTTGCCCAGTCTGGACCAAACCGCGTTCCCTGCGATTCGCACATCAACGGGGACGATCGGGTCGGGGCGGATGTTGTCGAGGGAGAATTTCGAGGGGTTCCCGCGAAAAGCCGCGCGGTCGACTGGCCGCCGTTGGCGTTCTCAGCGCAGGGTCGCAAGGCAGCGACCGACGCCGCAAGGCACGATGATAGAAGCGGTGGAGAATTCAAAGCGGCCCTAGTTTCTGGATTGAGCCAACCTGCTCCCCGGCCGGCCAGAGCAGGTTCCGGCCTGGAGCTTGGCACGGGTCCCCCAATGCCCAGCGCCAGGAATGGGCAGGCGACGGCATAGGTCGGGGCAACTGCCGTTGCGAGACCCCGCCTTGCAAAATTGGCCGTAAAATGCTGCGAAGGTGGGGCAAAACACATCTCACTGGCTACCAGGCCACAAACCCAAACACAGATCCCGTCAGCCTTCCCAGCCGCCATCAGCGAGGGAAAACGCCGCGTGTCGAGCATCGTCGCGACGTGGTGCCCCAGCGAGTCGAGACCCATGTCAGGTCTTGTTCTTTGCATTGCAGAGGCAAATGCGCCTGGAGCATTCCAGCGAACCCCTGGCGGCCCCAATCGCCAGTCGCCACCAGCTGGTGCAGCCCCAAGTCAAGGCCGGCAGCCCCAAGTCAAGGCCGCCAGTTCCTGTGAAGAGGCTGATAACATTCCGCACTAGCATCGCCATTTTTGTCCATTTTTGGGTATTTCAGGGCCTATTTGTCAAAAATTTTCTTTGTCTACTCTTTGGAATCAGGGGTCCAAACCGCGTTAGTATACATGACCCGCTATTAGTATCCACAGCTCTTTTTGGGGGTCCAATACATGCCTACTAATATCGGGTAAATACGGTATCTCCACCAGAACGGCGTCCCAAGCGCTTCCAAATCAGAGCCACACCCATGTGGGCATCAGCGGTGCCAGTCGCCCCTTTTCTATGCCCATGCATGCACCGTGTATGTGTCCCCAGTGTGCAGTCAGGACTGTGTCGTCGTTGTGTTGCCAAAATGAGGAAAATTATTGCCCCCTCTGTGCGCTGAATGGCAGTCTCCCACAGACAGCGGCTCACATTCTCAACGCACCCAACGCTGTCAACCGCATCCCTCCTCGTCCGCAAGAGAGAGAGGCATCCCACGCGGCGCGCCCCCGTCCTTCCCTGGAGTGGTGAACACCTGGAGGGGCAGCTGAATACATGAATGTAGGATGTATATCGACGATGTCAGTTGGCCATTCCCTTTTACGGTAAGACGTCGCAATTACAGCGTTACAGCATTACAGCAATCGCATTACAGCACCTTCACTACGCATTATGACGTCTGCACTCGCATTACGACAGACGTCTTCGGTCGCAGTGCGATGTATTACGGTGCAGCACTTCACCTTCATTTGCTTGAGCCGCACACGGCAGCACGCAGCGCAAGGTGCCACCAAGAACAATCGCAGACGGCAACCAATGGCCAGCGCCGTGTTCCGTCATTGAGGCGCGGGGACGAGGGCACGCAGACTTTGGGGAGATGTGCGCGTTGAGAATGCGGCGAGTGGGACCGCAGTTGGCCGACTGCCACACACACCCGTGACTGCTGGCCCTGCACTGATGATCAGCAGAAAGGCGGAATGTATCGGATTTGACGAGCGGAAGCGAGCGCGGCAAGCGCTTCGGCGAGCAAGCCGCGTCAGTTGTGTGCCCAGCTTGACCTTTGAGCATTCCTGCCGTTCGGTGGGGGCTGGCGTCGCAATGCAGAGAGTCGCGCCGGCCGGATGCATTTGCTTACATATCTGAGTACCGGCAGATCTGCTCTAGAGCTTGTGAGGGCCGTTGTTGCCATTCTAGACCGCTGCGGTTTGCTCACGAGCAGCAACTGGTGCGCTGGGCGGGGATGAGGAACGCTCACCCCAACAGGCCGGGCGACGTGCCAGTGGCCGACTGGCGACCTGCAATCGGGCTTGCGGGTGATGCATGTTCTTTTGTCAGCTCTCGCGAGCAGGTCTAGGCCTGCGATATAGATCTGCCATCTGCTTCTAGATCTGCGTTCGCAGATCTGGGACGAACGTGGCGGGAAGGATTTTGCGCGCCAAGTTGCTCATGCGCTTGTCGATGATCCCCTTATGCCGCAAGATGCGCTGCCGCAGAGGGCCGTGCTTGACGACACTCGCGGTGCCTTGTTGAGCGCAACCGGCCACCGTTTCGGGGAGTTTGGCCTGCGCTTCGCGGATCGTCGTAGCCAGCCCGCGATGAAACTGTTCTCGCTGGTTGAGGCTCCGACACCGTTCAGGTACTCCCCACAATGCATTCAGCTTCTTCCCAAACTCCGTCACTGCGGCGCAGTGCTGTTGGAAGCGCTGATGGCGTGCCAGGTGCTGTGCCCCGCAGGAAGCCGCCTTCCTCGTGGCAGACAGGGAGGTGGCCACGAGGGTGAAGGAGGGCATCCTGGGCGCGTCTGGCACAACGAAGAGGAACGATGACCAGATGAAGACCATCAGTATTCGAGGCGGTGGAGTACTGGCATCAAGGGCAATCCTAATATTGTGAGCATGCCGGCCTGTGGCGTTCCCTCGACAGATGCACCTTGGGCTGCTGGGGGTGTCAGGGATCTCATGGACAACACGATGCCAATATCCACTTAGCCCGGCACCACCAAGGAGTGCCAACCGTGCATGATCATCAATAGGCAGTCGTATGTCAGGTTCCACAGCATTGTGGAACTTCACAAGCAACTGCATATGAGGTATTTAAATGCGTATGAGGTGTTTTAAAACACTGAGTTTAAATTTCGCGTCGGCTCGTCTCCCCAGCCATTGTTGTTTCTCCCCGGTGCATACCATGTGCCGACCGTCAGTTAATGAACACCCAGCTCGGTAAAAACGTACTTCGAAGTATTTAAGTACACCAAGGCGATGATAAGTACCAATGGCCATTATTATTCACCGTCAAGCATGTCTCACTGGTCTCTGAAATCTCCACCTCCAGTGGATTGTACGTCTTGCTCGCTACCCTATCCCGTTGATTTCCGCTGACTGTGCCCAAGGACATCAACCAGACATAGATGCTAAGTCTATCTTGGACACAATTGCGGGCATCGATGGGGATATTTTCAGGACCTTCTCCTCACAGCGAGAAGGCCGTTTTGCCGATTAGTGCAATTACCGATTCCCTTAGGCGGCCACTATGTCAAATTTGGTCTGTCAAGCATCAATTCGGGGAGGGCTTCAGTCTTGTGGCGATAACAAGCCACAATGTATTACAGTGTGGGAGGCTGGTAATCCTGTTCTCCCTAAATGTGTCTAGATTTTACAAGAAATGTAGTTTTACTAGCATCCATCAACATCATGAATCAACTCACTGTTTCTACATTTCAACTGTGCCCTTTCATTTCACCGTACTGCACATCCTACATACGCTTGGCTCAGCCATCACTAAACTCCCCTTATAACTTACCTCATCTCATCGACCCTTCACAACCCCACACCTAAGTCAAACCTCACTCTCTTCGGGCATAAGGTCGAGCACAAAACCCCGGGGGGGAGCCAAAAATGTCGCTCCCTCTCACTCCCACCCCAAGCCCATCAAGCTCCAGGAGTGCCAAGTGGTTGATGGTCTTTGTTGACTTACTCTGACTTTGACTGAATAAGGATGGCCAGCAACCAAATGGAGGGCCTGACAGGGCCATTTAAATATAGTTGCGGATTCAAACCATTGGCATTGCCCACCCATCGTCATCCTTTGAACACGTCCATTAATAGGACAGCTAATTGCACCCGTACTGCTCCAATCAACTGTTGCACATTGTACCAGGATTTCTTCAACAAACCCAACCGAAGAAAATAGATTGTCATATTCAGCAACAGAATAATTCCCTCTAAGGCCCAAGTGTCACATCATCTGAATCTCCCTGATATTCAATTTCTTATAGCATATGTTTCGACGCCTGCCCTGCATATTTCCCCGTTTTGGCATCGAAGTCCGCTCATATGTGCAAGTCTCTTTCCACCGCCACTCATTATTAAAGACGGGCGCCAGAATGCGTGCTGCAATGCTCCTCGCGGTGCCGCGCTCCCACAACGCGCACAGCCGCCCCGCGCCCGGCCATCCTGCAGGCCTGGGACACGAAGACACGAGCGCCCCGGCAAAGCCCGCGGGCCATCCGGGGGAGGAGGCCCTCCGGGCCTCATCGGACGCATCGCCAGCACCAAACCGAAACCATGCCAGCAGCCGTAGACAGACTGTCATTGAACCGGACGGCTTGGTCGTGCAGTCACCGCTCTGCAGGCGTCCGGTTCATAGAAAGAACTCGATCAGAACGGTCGGGGAAGGAAAGGCACTCGGTACCTTCGGCTTGTGCCATCGACTTGGCATGAAGCGAAACAAGATAGGAGGGGAACCGAGGGAGGTGCCTAAATAGCCGCCCCAGCTGAGCCCCGCCAAAGTCCAAGGGCGCCAAACTGACGGCCCTTGGAAACTACGTACTGTGACTGACCCAATGTACTAGAAGGGCCAGAAACCCGTTTGAGTTCGACTGCGACCAATTTGAATGATCAGCGCAGCCCACCCAACGCTGCCCTGGGTGGAAACGTATCAACAAGATAGTTAATTGTATGTACGTCTCTAAAGCACTAAGTGTGAACATGCAATAGATAGGCAGCCCTGCCATCAAGAAACTGAACACTGGTACGCCAGTGTCAAGCCACCACTAGGGGAGCCATGCATGGTGGTGTTCCGTCAAGTGAGGTCAGATCAAGTCGCGATGCCATGATAGCAGATTTGTGCTTGCTTTACCAAGCTATTTCAATTGTTGCCCAGGAATTCACTGCTCTTTGACAGCAACAGGCAAGAGAATAAAATATAAAGCACACCTAAAGAGTCTCTTGAGGGGCGACAGCAAAAGCAGCAGAGCGATTGAGTTGTGCATGACAAGCAGCCGCCAGGAGCCTTCTCTGCGACAGAAATATCGAAAATGGCAGCGATGACCTGTTGGAATTGAACAATCAGTGCCCATTTGGTGACATCGTCAGTTGCGCAGACGATTCCACTCTGGCTGCATGCATTCAATGCATCCCACGCGGGTCGTGCGTCCTCCTGAGCACTTTGAACCATGCATTGCATTCGTAAAAGTGCTCAGGATGACGCGTTACCCGCGTGGGATGGAGTTTCTCGACGCCTGGACTCTTAGATCAGCTACGCTAAGCCTGCAGTCGCCTCCAATTCATTGGTCTGCGAGAGCGTACATTGCTCCATAATGGATAGATAGATGGTGATCACGTTGAGGATGAGCGTTGATAGAAATCAGCTCGACGCCGGAAATATTGATGGTGTTAAAGAATGGGCTGAGTCGACTGGTTTATCGTCTTGGATTCTCAAAGAATGATTTGGGCGATGTACACAATGTGCTGCTTCAGCTCATGAAGCTCGAGTGTCGATGGCGGATTTGGCATGCCCACCCTGGGCGGAGATTCCACGCTGCCGCCTGTCGGGGCAGAGCCAAGTCCTTGAGGTTCGCAGCATTGGTTTAGCTGTTTGGACCGCTTTTCGTGCACCCACATAATGAACACCTTTCAGAGCGATTGGAAATGAAATTGCAACAAAACCGGCAAGAGCTGAGAAGAGGCCCAAACCTTCGTTGGGCAGCTCCAATAAAGTCATCACTTACTCCTAAACCTTCCACAAGCTTTCAAACTTGATGGAGAAGTCTCCAGCTCAGGAAACCATCAATTGGGGCATTGGGGCTGTCGATCCCCTCAATGCCCCAATTGACAGCGTCCAGGGCTGCCCCCATCGCCTACCATGGCTTCCAGCATCCGGTTTTTCAGCCGTCTGCAGCTGCTGCAACTCTGGCTGCTCGCCTTTCTTGAAGGCATCTTGGTGCTGCATCGCTCCATGAGATAATGTTGCTGAGCAATCCCGCCATGCACATTAGGATCAATGCAGGGAGAGGGGAAGGTGGCCAATCTGAGCTTAGCATCAGGCTGACATTAAGCTTACTATTATGGACACAGTGTCTTCTCTTAGCGTCCATGCCCGCGCCCCCATTGAGCTTTGAACGTAATACCTACAAATAGTGTCTTCCCTACGTTGATTTGGGCACATTTAACGCCAGTCTGTTTAGCTTCTGCTGATCGCCTATATTTACGCTCATGCATGGAATGGTGCGCGCACTCATGTGTGGACGCTGTGAATTTGGTGTCCACAACATCAAATCGACTCATTTCTGACTAATTGATTGATGGACTGATTTGCCAACTGACCAGTCGACCGACCGACTATTTGACTGCCGCACAAACATAAGCGAACCGCCAGCGTCTTCGGCCCCCAGTCATGGCCGTGGACCACAGCCAGCGCTGTTGCCTCCATCGAGAGCGGAGCGCTGCAACCAACAATCGACTTTTGAGGAATTTGCAATGGCTACAATGACTGCAATGGAACAGCTGCTTTGTGCGCAACGGCGTCGTGACCCATGCACACCGAGACTGCGACAACCCCTGTCCACCGGCGCGGCCTGCCCCCCGGCCCTCCACCCAACGATCAAAAAATTCCCTCCATTTGCATAGTCGTCACACAAGCCGCCCACTCTCAGCCCGCTGCCGCCGTCAGGGAATCCAACCTTGAGCTCCGCGCCCAACTTTCGAGCTTTGGACCGATGCTGGAGCACCGACGCTGCAGCAGCCACTGGGCCCCTCCATTCCCCGCCCCAGATCGAGTTTCACAGCGACGCCAGAACAGCCATTCCGGGGAGTAGCATTTCAAAGTGGAATTGGAATTCCAGAGACACAGAAGGGACAACCTCGCCCCCTCAAGCGTCACAAGGCTGGTGCTTCGAGTCGACTTCCATCTCGTCCCCACCGGGCTGCCCCTCCCCCTCTGCCCCGTTCCCCTCCCCCTTGGCCCCCCCGTCCACGTCCATGGCCTCCTCCCCCTCCTTCTCCCCCTCCTTGTCCCCCGCTGGCTTGGCGGCATCCTTCTTCTTGGGCGGCGGTGGTGGCGGCTCGGACATGATCGGCTTGCACACCCGCTCCAGCACATCCCGCTTCCGATAAACATCTGCAGACATGATCGCTGGATCGTCATGCTTCTCCAGCCCCTGCTGAATCGCCATCTTTTCCTGCATCCACCCCAGTGCAGCCTCGCACTCCTTCACCACCTGCTCCCTCTTAGCGGGCTCGATGTGGGCGTACTCCTTGGCGTCCGATCTGGCCATGGCCAGGTAGACATTGCAGGTATCTGTGAGGCACTGCAGGGCGGGCCCCCGGGCCTGCTCCTCAGAGTGCCGCAGCTCCACGGGGTCCCCCAGCTTGCGCAGCTCCTGCAGCTTGGCCACGTACACACTCTTGGTCTGGTCCTCCCCCTCGTCGTACAGCCAGTCCTCCATGGCGTCCAGCCGGGCACGCAGGTCGTCACAGGGGCCCTCCTGGATGTAGGGCGCCAGGGCATCACATAGCTTGTTGCGGAGGGAGTACACGTACGCCTCCAGCTCGTTCTTGCGGTCGTTAGTCTCCTCCTGGAGCTTGTCCGTCGCAGCCATCTTGCCTTCCAGCTCGAAGTAGTCCTCCAGGACCTTCTGGGGCAGCCCAGTAGCCTTCACTGTGCTGATCGGCACCTCTATTTTCTTTGTGCGTTTCTTTTTCTCGGTCTTGGGTTTCTCCTCCTCTTCGGGGCATTTCTCCTGTGAAATGATCAAACGCATTGTTACCTTGCATGCATGCAGTTATTTGATATGTTCCAAGATAAATGCACATTGCATACACTGTGACACAGCATGTCCTGGTGTTGCATTCTTCGACAGACCATTGGGGACCCATGTCGATCTTCAGAGCCAGCATACAGGTTGTCACATAGCTGCACTATAGCATGCAGCACTTCTGAAATCGACTGGGATGCACACAAATGCTTGAAAGATTGTGGGTGGACTATTGCAAGTCATCGCTTTGGTGGTTGCAGTTTGCTTCCGAGTTTTCTTGCCAGTTGTGATCAAGCACGTTGCTCGCTTTCTCGTTGGTTTGTCTTCCCCATAACACAAAAGGTATCCTGAGCAAACGCCATGGACCACGATATGTGACCAGATTTGTGCCAACAATCGCCCTCCCAGGAACATGGGCCCTGGCCTTGCCAATCTTGAACACTGCTAGTAAGCAGATGAGACCAACAGTCTCAACACTTTAAAACAAATGAAAACAAGGACTGGAAGTCCCTAATCAACACAACTGCCTTGTTCAGGCATAAACCACAGAGACCATTCAGGCACAATTTTTCAGTCAAAATTCCGCAGTTTTCCGTGCACATTGGTGATCCATCAGCACGCAACAAGTAGGCAAAATTCTGAAGCGATGAACGTGCAGTCAACCATATGCACAGAATAAACCACACACACAAACCCCGCATTTTTCTTCTGCATCCACAGCCTTGCAAAAAACAGAGAAACCGTACCTCCTCAGGGGCCTTGTCCTTGGCGCCCACATCTGCTGGTGGTGCCTCCTCCTGCCCATTGGAGGCTGACTGGTTCTCCTGCGCCTCAGCCGGCGGCGGGGTGGGAGCTGCTTCCTTGGGCTTGGCCTTTGGTGTTACAGGCACCTCGACTTCCTCCTCTTCTATGGCCTGCACGGACTCCACATCCACCACACCGTGCATGCTCAGCCTCACCTTCACCTGCAACACAAAACAATACACACAACTGAAATGTGTACACAAGGGTTGTTCATCAGTGAGCAGCAACAAAAAGGTTCTGAGACGAGCAGAGGAGTGGAACATTCCCCTATGCTGCCAACATCAAGCGAGGCAGCCACTTGCCATGTTTCCATTGATGCAACAACGGGCAAGTCAGGCGTTACCGATCTGAGGCCAATGGACAACACTGCGTGATTTCTTCAGGAAGGGAATCAACAAGCAGCTACAACTATACGAATCTCAATCCCCTCACTGCATAACGGCAAAAGGTGCTCTTGGTCTATGCAACCCTGATGGACACAAACAGCTGTACATGGGAAAGCAGTGCCTTGCATCGCCTGGGACGAGATGGGCAGCATTGCATTATATCCATCAATACAACCAACAAAGAATGAGATCCCCTTCTTCCCTTCATTTGACCCTTCTCTGGTGCCCAAACTTCTCCAGGGCCTTGCAAGTACATCAAACAGTGACAATTGGCACTGCTAATATTCGTGGCTTGTGTTGCTACTTCGACTCCAATCGTACATCACATTCAATTCCCTCACCTTGAGCTTAGCCTTCTCAGCCCCCTTGGGTACTGTGAACCCGGCGATCTGGTATAACCCCAACACCCTCTCCACACTGACTGGCAGCCTGGGGTCCTCCTCATACTCTGCGGTAATGGTGAACGGCTCCGAGCGAATGAAAGTCAACAGCTTGGTGCAAGGGTAACCAGTGCCCTTCTCAAACATCATGTTCGTTGTGCTCTGGCCTTCTTTGTCCCACTTGAAGACGATCGAGAACTGTTGGCTGTCAACAACCTCGAAGGAGCGCACACGGAAGATAGGGCTGAGCATCGCACACTGCAGGGCACAGCCACGCGAGACGCATTCCTTGGCGTGCAATGTGCGGCTCGCGGGCTTCTTGAAGTGGGACTCTATGACGGATATGACAGCGGGCACGCGGGAGCTGTTGCCCACAACCTCCACAGAAGCGATCTGCTCAGGCTTGAGCTTGGCGTCATCCAGGGCCTGACAGAGGCACAATAAAAATGGAACCAATTGGCAAAACAGATATGAATATCTTGACAGGGATCATTGCAGCAGACCACAGCGATTCAGTGCTATTTCTCATTTGGGCTTTCAAGGTGTGCTGACTGTCTTTTCTTTGATACTGTGCATCCATTTCCACAGCATCAAGCTTTTGGGCTGAACATCGCCTTGCACCATCTTTAGAAATGGCACATGGCCCACACAGGGGGTCCTAAATGTAATGTAACATTTTCGAACAACAATATGATGAATTGGAAGGCAACCACGAAATAATGGACAGCAAACAAAGCAGGATAAGTGGCACATTGTCATGTGAAACACAGAATTACTGAGAAGCAAAAGAAGCAAACACGAGTAGATAGTTGCCAAGTGGTATAGCACAGCATGTACAGCAAAATATCAGTGAGTTTTGGTAGCAAATTATCAACTTGTTTGATTAATGCACCCCAACACAACATGACAAACAGAAGCCTAGCAGCGTGCAGGGCGAGCGTGCCCACAATAACAACCAACAGGCATTTTGTCCATCCCCAATTATCACAGTTCTAGTGTGCTGCCTGTTTGTGCAACTTGCAAACTGTGGTAGAACAGCTGAAGCTTTCTACATCCCAAGCAACATTAAGGCCTACCACAGCAAATCAATCACACGAATCGATGAGAAAAAAAGTTGTTAGTTGAATGCAATGCAACAAATCAACATCTATAAAAAATCAATAGGAAATAGTTAATCCACAATCACAATCCTCACCTATCAACTATCTACAAAGCCAGTTGTGAGATGTCAACACCATGTCACACACCTGTTGAAGAGGTGCAGCCAGTCTTTGAAACAGGGGCTCTGCCAGCTTTTCAAACTGCTCACGAGTGATATGACACCGGAAGTCTGTGTCTTCCATGAGACACTCCACAGACAAAACTGCCTCATTGTTGGCGCTCAGAATCTTCTTTGCCTGTGGAAATCGCAGCCCATAATGAATCAATCCAGTCAACACCCAGTCAGGCCATCAAATGACACAAATCTACCCAGTTGCATTCTTGCTTCAAAAAATATGCATCAAATTTTAGTTGTCAGGCAGCACACATGTCCTAGCAGAAAAGGCATGGGTGCTACGTCAAGTAGCAACAAGTTGCCAAACAGCACAAGAACTATTTCTCTATGCTACTCATTGCTCACTACGCTTCCTTAGTCAGGGAATCAACATGATGATCACAGACATTAGAAGGGCAAGGGCTGCTCCAAGGTTTACCTTTTCACATGCCACCCTCAGTCGGAATGCCGACTTTGGGTTAGTTTTGACATCCAGTTTGCTCTTCTCCAGAAATTCCTTTGCACAGTGCTCAAACAGCACATTATCAAAGTCCCATCCACCTGTGCTCCTTGACCAAGCCGTCGACAAAATCTTCAGTTTTTTCTTTGTCAATGCTGCCACGCAAACCTGTTGCGTCAAATTCAGGGGTCAGGAATTTTTCTTACCAGTGAATTGTCGCCACAAGGCAACCGTGCCTTGCTACTCCTTGACGAAAGCAACCAACTAAATGAAAGAAGCAAGAATAGCCATTTGTGCTTACAAGTATGGCATAAGACTGCGGATGTGCGGATGAAACGGATGAAAGAAAATAAAAGAAAGTAACAGTGGACAGCAACATCCAGAAAAGCAGCAGCAGATTCATTTCACTCAAGAAGCAACAGATTTTATGTTGGGGACGTCATGTACAGGGGAGCATAACAGGGTCAATGTTGCCGACATTGCTGTTCCCAGAGAAGACGAAGCAAGGCCCGGCCCTTGTACATTTCCAGCCACATGCACTTCCACAGAATATTCATTAATCAGATCCAGGTGTCGTCGTAAAATTCCCTGTGCGTAAAAGAGAGGAGAGCTGCGGCTTTGCAGTATTGTCCATACGGGATGGAACAGCCTGGAGTCCATTCCGAGATCACAGGCTCCATTTCCAAGGGTGCTGAGAAAGGGTATCTATTCAACGAGGGGTGCCTTTTGATCCTTGTGATTTCATGTTTGAGATTTCTGGAGTGGGCATGGCAGGTGCACCAAGAACCGTTGCACAGACACGATGGTTGGAATGGAAAACTTGGAGGGACAGTCAATCTGCCTACTGCCTGCCTTCACCATCCGAGAGCCGCTGGCGATCACAAATGCGAACTAATGTGCAACAGCAATTACAATAGCAACATGCGGATGAGTGCACAATTCGTCTGAACCCTGTTGCCCCACATTCCTACACCACATATAACCTCAGCCCTAAACCCCTTTCAGCTGCAGACGTCCACACATAGCTTGCAGCGTATTATCGTCTTTTGCAGCATAAAGCAGCCTATGGGCAACTCCTCCTGACCATGAATCCATGCCAAGCCGGGTTCCTTCTCCACACTGTGGAAGATGACGCAGGTGTCTTCCATAGCAATGGCACCCACGTGCGCACAATTGGACTATGCCACGGCCATTCCCTCTCATGGGCAAAACGGAATTCCCCGCTTTACGTAATGGAAGAAAATCATCGAAAACGGCGCGCAAACTCAAAAACAAACGTGAAAGCGCGGCCCCCCGCCGCACCTGGAAACTGGAGTGGCCGACGTCCACGAAGGCCACGTGCGTGGGCTCCTCGTCTGGCAGGTCCGTCTTGAATATCCCGTACGCCAGCGCCGTGGCCGTCGTCTCGTTCATCAGCCGCAGGGCCTTCAGCCCCGCGATCCTACAGGCGTCCAGCATCGCTCGTCGCTCCGCCTCGCAGTAGTACGCCGGCACGGACACCACGCAGTCCGTTGGCGCCACTCCTTGCTCCGCGGCCACGATGCCTTTCAAGTCCACCAGCACCATCGCCATGATCTGCTCGGGTGCGAACGCCCGCCGCTCTCCGCAGTGCTCCACCTCCACCAGGCACCCCCCGGTCGCGGGATCCTCCCTGACCGGGTATGCCAGCCGGGACAGGTCGGCCTGGACCTCGGGATCGGCATATTTTCGCCCCAGCAGGCGCTTGATATGCGCGACGGTGGCCTTGGGCCGCATCGTGAGCTTGGCGGCCGCCTCGGTGCCCATGGACCGCATCTTGTCGCCGAAGGACACTAGGGACGGGGTCTCCCGGCTGGACTCCTTGTTCATCAGGACGTCGATGCCGCCCTTGCGTGCGAGCGCCACGCACGCCGCGCCGTTCCCCACGTCGAAACCCACCACCGACATGGCTGCCCCGGCGCCCGCGAGCGCCCACGCGCCGCGACCAAGCCGATCGGATCCAATCAAATCGCCCCTTGACGGGGAATGGGATGCCGCGACGCCTGGGGTTCAGCGGCAGGGGACCTGCAGCGACCGCTTTCGGCGCGGCGGCTGGGATTGCTGGCGGACCTGCTGCCGGCGATGTTGGGCGCGTGGGCCGTGGCTGGCGCTCTGCGCCAGGGGGGACCGGCCGGGGGGAAGGATATGGGGCGCCTGGGAATGCTCCAGAGTTTTCTGGACGGTCTGGCGGCCTTCGGGCGGCGTCTCCCCACCAGGCACGCCAGCAATGGAGCATTCGGTGATGGCCGCCATTAATGTGGCGTAACTTGTTACGATTCCGGGTGCTTCCCCCGTGACCATTCCTGTAGTGGGTAGTATCGCGACCGGGCACGCCGGCAATGGAGCGCTCGGTGATGACCACCATTAACGGTGCGTTTCACGTTGGCGTAACTTTACAATTCCCTTATGTTCACTGCAATGATTCTTGTATGTTGGAATCCACCAACGATGATGACCGGAAGACTCTCCGGATGTGCATTGCAGTAAAAGAAAGAACAAAATGTGGGCCCGAATCACCACACACGTGGAGCATGCACAACGAGTGCATTCCCAGGATGCAACCATTAGAGGGGATCCTTTGATGTTACATGGGCGTTTGGTTCACAAAACACACAGACCTTCCACTTAACGCAATCCTACGCGACCCAAAGGGTGGGCAGCTACTTGGGGTCAAGTCTCTTCCCACAAAAAAAAACTTACATGGAATAGCCTCAATCGTTCTGGCTCTCCGCCCCTATTTACAACAATGATTCAGAGCCACCAAATACCCCCCACATGCATATGACACTTCACACTCAGAGCTGGGCCCGGCCATATGGCATAGGAACGGCAACGGGTATGGTGTCCATTCCCATTCCAGGAACGGACCCGTTCCCGTTCCCGTCCCAGTCCGTTCCAGTCCATTCCTGGGCCATTCCCCAGGAATGGATTTGGACTGGATTTGGGCTGGGCTGGAACGGTGTTGGAACGGATCCGTTCCTGCCCAGGGACGGATCCATCCCGGCTTAGGAACGGACCTGTTCCTGACATGGAATAGCCCCGTCCTTGTCCGCTCAAGTCCGTTTCTGTCCGTTCCTGTCCATTCCCCAGGAACGAACCATGCAAATTGGAGGTCTTAAGAGTTTGGGGGGGGGGCACTGGCGGACCAGTGCAAGTTGTGGAGGCATTCATAAGGCCGGATTCAGGGCCAAGAGACACATTTTCATAGGGACACCTGACTTGCAGTAAAGGCGACATGCACATTGCCCAATGTACAAGCTGGACATATAACCAAAATTAAAACAAGTCATACACACGCCCATAGCCTATGGGCCATAGGCCAATTCGAGACAAGCTAATAGAACCCGGAAAATTACAGCTTGTAATTTACAAGTCGGTGTTGCCGGACAAAAACGTCAGCTGCTCAATGCGTTTGTCCCCTGGAGATGCCCGCAGAGATTGCACAGTATGGCCGGATACTGAGAAGCCCCATTTTGACGCCCCACTTCCGGCCAGCACACACAATGAGTGCCATGCCACCCACGCCACTATGGGCCATCGAGCACTATTCCGTGCCTAATAATCTAGTGCATCCTCCACTCGTGGGGCACCCGGCTCACACAAACTTCAACGTTTCGTTAAGAACTCTTGAACGTGTCGTGCGATCAACCACTGTGTGGCATCCGTCAGTTCGCCGCCCGCTGCAGTGCCTGCAGGTTGGCTAGGCCCCGCGGCACCCCTTGCCCTTGGGCCCCGGCCCCAAGATGCATCATAATCCTCCTCAGAGCTAGTGTCAAACGTCTTATGCCCCGTGCACTTCTCCCTCGGCCTGTGCACGGTCCGCTGTCCAGGATAGGGGTGGCCACACTCGGGTGCCGTCCGCTCTGTTGCGTCCGGTTCATAAAAGTGAGTGTGATATTCGTCCGGTAATATCCGGTCCGCTGTTTGCCGTACTGCCGTCCGCAAAATCCGGTTCTCACTTTTTCTTCACCGTTATTTGCCGTTAAATTAATGGATGACGTGTGCGGCGTCCGGTCCGTAACAAAATATCCATTGATTAATAGTTTTGGTCCGTTATTACCCACAGGTACTTGCTTTCCAGCCACGGCAAGGTCAAGGCGAAGTTGCCAAAGGGTTTCCATTTTGCAGCTACTCGAATTATGTTGGTTGCATGCTTGATAAATGTGTGTGGTTGTTTTCCAGGTCACGTATTCTGCGGTTTGTAATACATGGAGTGATTTGGAGAACCGAACAACACACAAGCCGTGTGTAAAGTTCTAGTGTATGGCATACACTGGAACTTGCATGCATACACTGCATGCATGCAATCCTGCACCACTTGCTACGGCTGGTACTGCTGCGTACCACACTCCCATGGCAAGTCTTCCCAGCCATTGCAGCAAGGGTTCGGCATAGTTGTAATACCAAACGCGGACACACAAACACCCACATCACCTAAGGCAGGTGGCAAAAGGGTTCACCTCTGAACACAGTTGAGCCACTCAACATATTTGGGAACGGGTGATACGTATCATATATAACGATGGGTTGCTGCGGCGGTACTCCACAGTTTCCACCAGGGCAGCGAGTGTAAAGCCCATCCACCAATTGCACTATTTGAATGGACACATTCCTCACAGAAATTCTCTTCTATCTATATGATACCCTAGGTTCATCCACCATTCCAACATAGTACGTCGAAGTTCAACAGTTCAACATACATGAAAACGGGCAACAAATAGTACGAGTCGTGATTTGTTATCTTCCATCTCTGCCTATCGCACCCTTGCTGCGGTGGTACTCCAGAAGTTTCCACGCCAGGGCAGCGACTATAAAGTCTATCCACCAATCGTAGTACTTGTTGGGATGCATTTCTTGAATAAAATTTTCTTCTATCTATATGATACCCAAAGTTCATCCACCACTCAACATAGTGTGTTCAAGGTGTGCACATCAACACAGGACAACGGAATATTACAAGTCATGATATCTTATCTTCTATCTCTATGGTAACCGCACCCTCGCTGCGGCGGTACTCCACAGTTTCCATGCCGGGGCAACGAGGGTGGTCACCGGTGGTGATCCAAACTTTGGAATCCAAAGTCACTACTTCCCCCCCTTCCCTCCCTTCCCTCCCTTCCCTCCCTTCCCTCCCTTCCCTCCCTTCCCTCCCTTCCCTCCCTTCCCTCCCTTCCCTCCCTTCTTGCGTTGTTGTGCTAGCTTCTGCTGCGACCATCCACTCTCTGCCATCTGCCACCCTAGCAAGCTCAAATGATCCATGTTCTCGGGCCTGAGCACCTTCCCTCCCTTCCCTCCATTCTTGCATCGATGCGCTAGCTTCTGCTGCGACCATCCACTCTCTGCCATCTGCCACCCTAGCAAGCTCAAATGATCCACGTTCTCGGGCCTGAGCACCATGCGCTTGGCCATCACAATTAAACCAGCCTTCGAAAATGAGCGTTCACTACTGGCGCTGGAGGCCTGCAACACAACCAAAAATACTCAGTACTTCTCAGCCTGTGAACTTCATAAGGGCTCCGGGGCATATATGCATAGCTAGTTGGCATCACAATAAAACCAAACTTGGAAAATGAGCATTCACTGCTGGTGTTGGAAACCTGCAACACAACCAAAGGTATTCAGTTTTTTCCTTTCTTTCAACTCCATATTTCACATAAGGGCACTTTGGTATATATGCACAGCCAGCTGTACTCACCCACTCACCTGTGTTGCTAATATTTGACGTGCAAGCATGGCCACCAAGGGGAAGCTGGTGTGATTCTCGTGCCACCAGTCCCCAACACTCCATTTTTTTTTATATTCACATGCTGGTGTCCATTTCAAATCAAACCACCTTTCGACTTCGGCCTCCACTGGGTCCATGTGCAGTGGGGAGCATGGGGCCCGTCTTCTCCGTCTTGATGGTCGGAAACGTAGTGGTCCCTTAGGTGGGGGGTGATGCCGCGTCTAGCCAACTCTGTTGCACAGCCTGTGCTGCATCCTCTTCGGATGATGAGCCCGAGGAATGGACTTTGGGCGCCTTCACCATGTGCCTCAACTGCAAAAGTCATATGCACGCTGTTAGTCACACAAGCAAGATATAACAGCAGGCACCCCATGCAGCCAAGTGATCCCAGGAGACGGCCGTTTAAGGCGAAATACACAATAGGCACAGTCGTGCATGCAAAGGCACAAAGGACACTTGGTACCGGCCAAAACTATCCATAGTTGGATGCACACATTTACAAAGGCAAAGGCCACAAATCAGAACTGAACTCACCAATGCCGTCATCTCTTTCTTCAACATCGCTTGGAACTTTGCCAGGGTGTCGTATTCTTCCACCAAATTTGGCCAATCGTCAGCGTTGTTCTAGATCCTCCTCATCCAGTGCAATGTATTCCTCCTTCCATCCACAGCCGCCGCTAGTGCCCAGTTGTATATTAGGTTCACATTATCACAATCCGCACACAGTTTTCTTGTGAACTCAGAGGTGAATTCAAGCAACACAGGTTTTGCATGTGCATCGGTGTCACTGACATACAGCCGGTCGTACAGCAACTTCAAAACATTATAGAGGACATCCGATATGGTAATATACTCGTCCCCCTCACATCGCTCAGACAACTCCCTTATGGACTCCAAGACTGGCAGCACTTGTTTGAAAATGCACCACCTAGCTGCTGGTATAATGATCCTAGGAGTTCTCGCGTTTGCTGTATACTCGCAGATGCTTCTCTCCAACAAAACCGCCCACTTAATCAAAAAATACATGCTGTTCCACCTCGTCGGGCACCAAGTCCCCAGACGCAATATTCGCTTTGGACAAGCCTGCTCCATATCAATGTCAGGAACCGTCAGATCTACATCAGGATCATCGGGCAACTCAGCAACATCATCCTCTTCCCTTACACCTGAGTAATCCTCCTCC